ACTCAAACGTCAAGCTATGCCTATGCAAAAAGGTCAGTGTAAGTCATCGGAATAAGCAACGTGTATGTTACTACTAATGATTAGATATAATTTGGTAGTAAAACAAAGAGTTGCACGTTTTATGGGTGCAGAGTGGTGATAATTATTTTGTACAACATTTGCAACTGCTTTTTATCATGTAATTAGAAGCATTAAAAATTTAATTGTGTCATCTGTTATAGGGACTACTGAACAGACATTTAGAAGTTGGTTTTAAAATTCAAAGTATTAAAAAAATAAAATAAAGCTCTGTAAACACTTGCATTTAATGCAGGTAGGCTAATGAAAAGTTCTACTCACGCTTGTGGTCTTCATGCTCTCTTGAACACTTGGACCAAATACAGGAAATACGTCATATAAGTGGTTAAGTGCAAAGACAGCAAGTGCGGGTATTTGGACAAGGGGTATGATGCGCTCATCTAGGGTGACCTCCCGTCCCGCTTTGCGTTGTACCCTGCTTTTATACAGTCTATGGTTGTATCGCACAACATTTTCACCCCTTGTCCCGCACGTCGCATATTGAGAAAATGTCTCGCATTTTCATCACTGTTGGTTTTTAATTGTCATATTAAGAAAACGTGCATGCGTTCTTTTGCCTTTAAAAAAAAGCTTTTTATTTATTATTTTTGCGCGCTTCGTCATTGTCAACCGCCTCACACAAATACATCAGCCATTTTTTTTAAATCCTATCCAATTGTTGAAAAGAAAAAGATTAAACCCGGTCATTAAGAGGCTGTTACGGCTGTCAATCAAAATGTGGAGCGGGTGATTCCTTGTGTTCCCTGTCAGAAAACAAATGTACCCGTGTTCCGGATAATCCGGTAAAGTAAAAGCTATTTTAAGGCGTCATAATGGCAACAAAAAAGAGAAAATGTTCTTTTAGTAAAGACTGGGCTAGGGCCTACCTAAAATGGCTCGTTCTAACACGCCCCCACATGTCTACGTCAGGATGTGGGAAGATTTGCATAATGCCGCCCAAAGACTACTTCGTCGTGTCTGATTTGTAGATTTGACCCCCCAAAATTGCTCCGTATTTTCATTCATTTACCATGGCAGTCATTTTTGATCACAAATGTGACAAATGCCACAAAAGTCACCAAGTTTTGTACTGTTCCGTTGAAATAAAAAATAAAAAATGTAAAATATTCTATCTAAAATGACAGAAGACCACTGGAGGGTTAAATACAAACCTGGGCCCGTATTCACAAAACATTTTATCTTACAACTAAGAGTTCTCCTAAATAGCAGTAAAAGTTTTTAGCTAAGAGTTTTCTCTTAAAATCTATTCACAAAGCTGCTGAGACAAACTTTTACTAAGGAATAGACTGAAGTCTTAAGCTAAGAGTAAGGGCAGGGTTGACCTTGTTGCTATGGATGATGTCAGCATGCTTACTAACTATGCACACAGTGATTGGCTGATAGTCTCTGTCAGAGATTTATTCATAGAAATATTGTAGAGTGCAATATTATGTTGCCATATTCAAATAAAGGTTTAAAAAAAAAAAATTGTTAATTGCCGCATTCAAATAAAGATTTTAAAATGCAGGATAAGCGTCACTAATTAAACAAGTATATGTTCAGCTAATTGTCAGCCTCTTACACGTATGCTTCTCATAATTAGTGAACGCCTACCTAAAACGGCTCATTCTAACACGCCCCCACATGTCTACGTCAGGATGTGGGAAGATTTGCATAATGCCGCCCAAAGACTACTTCGTCGTGTCTGATTTGTAGATTTGACCCCCCAAAATTGCTCCGTATTTTCATTCATTTACCATGGCAGTCATTTTTGATCACAAATGTGACAAATGCCACAAAAGTCACCAAGTTTTGTACTGTTCCGTTGAAATAAAAAATAAAAAATGTAAAATATTCTATCTAAAATGACAGAAGACCACTGGAGGGTTAAATACAAACCTTATTGTAGAGTGCAATATTATGTTGCCATATTCAAATAAAGGTTTAAAAAAAAAAAATTGTTAATTGCCGCATTCAAATAAAGATTTTAAAATGCAGGATAAGCGTCACTAATTAAACAAGTATATGTTCAGCTAATTGTCAGCCTCTTACACGTATGCTTCTCATAATTAGTGAATATGCATATAAACAGCCTTTTAATTAACAGAGTAGAATAATCATGGCTGATAGTAATACATGCAAATGTAAAAAAAAAAAAAATAATAATAATAATAAAAATGGACGCAAGAACAGCTGTTACTTCTTGCCCAACTGGTTAATGAAAACAAGGATATAATTTGGATTATTAAAGGAAAAATTAAATTTAAAAAAATTAAAGGAAAATTTTGAGTTGGGATAACCTCCAAAACCAAAGGCGATGCCTTTTTAAAAGGACATTATCATCAAATGTTTCTAAAATATTTATGTTCCGATGCAGACAGCCATTTTAGGATAGTTTGTGGCTTGGTCTTAGTGACTTAGGATTCCTCTTCACTACTCCTCATGTTTCACAGATTTAGGAGCTAGTTTTAGTGCTAAAACGCGTTGTGAAATACTCTTCGAGCAAAAATGTAGGAGTCCTAAATTTAGGATTGACGCCCGTTATTTTTAAGATTTTCTCTTAAATCGGCGAGTTATGAGCTACTTTTAGCCCTAAGATGTTTTGTGAATAGGGGCCCAGATTATCAAGCACTCTCAAAAATTGAGACCATCTATATGGATTAACAACTTCAGTCTATCTGTCAAACAGAGAAAGTAATTCTAGGCCAACCTTTGGAATAAAGTATTTTCCTATCTGAGTTTCTTTCACAGTAGACCGGACCAAATTTAATGGGACTATATTTCCAATCCTCTGTATCTCATGTATCGCATTGGTGTAGGGCATGTTGTCTCTGTCTGATGAAGATGGCTGCTGTGACCCTCCCACAACACGATCAATCTCCTCCTGAACTTTGGCTGAAGATACAAAGTAGAGATAGTGTACATGAGCATATATATTTTATATATAGTGAGTATATGTTAATTTTTATGTTCATAACTCATTTCTCATAAGCAGCTCTCACCCTGTATCTCAGGATATTTCATCATGTAGAGAAGACCCCAGTACAGAGTGACGGAGGCGGTCTGAGTTCCCCCAATAAACAGATCCAGAGTACTGAAGCACAAAGTCTGCACATCAAACCCAGCATCTGTGTCATCTTTACTCTAAACATGATGAATGAGAACAATTGTAATGAAATATCTCTTTTTGAATGCATACCAGAGCATTCCTGTACCAGCATATTTATTGACACCCCCCAAGAAATGGTCTTATTTTTTCCATCTCAGCAAGGAAGCAGTCAATGTAGTCTCGAGGATTTGATGGAGCTTAAGGAAGCAAAATACAATGAATATAGTGTAAGTAAGAAAAATATCCATATTTACAACTTTATAAACCTTAATCTCTAACTTCCACTGTCGTACGTGCGTTCACGAGAGAGTGGCCTCCAGTGGATGATGTAGGACGTAGGCGTAGCATAAGCTCCGGTGAGAATATGCTAGTCTTGCGAGAAAAAAGTTTTGTTTATAGCAAAGGAAAACCAGTGTCCTCTTGGCTTATATCGAAATCCTCCGACATTTTTCTTTACAAATCCTCGTTTTGTACTACTAAATCGTGACTGGTGTTTTGTTTTGCTCTCTCCTCTGCGCTTACACGTTCATCACTTCCGTGTTCGTCACCACGTTTGTCTACTTGCTATGTCATCCACTGGACGCCACTCTCTTGTGAACGCATGTATGACAGTTAGCGGAAGCTAGAGATTAAGGTTTATAAAGTTGTAAATAAGGATATTTTTCTTACACGAACACATCACTTCGCTTCAGAAGGCCTTTATTAACCCCCCGGAGCCTTCTTTTATAATGGATGGGTGCAATTTTTTTTACTTCAAATTTTGGGCTACCATCCACTCCCATTATAAATCATGGATTAGCCTGGACATTATCAAAGACTATAGAATACCCAAGCCGTGTCACTCGTATAGTTTTGAATGGGGAAAAATGCCACGCTTAATATGGCCTCTCAATCGCAGGAAGCCCTGTCTTCTGAATGAAAGAGCCAATGGCTAATCGGTAAAGTCAGCGCGTCACTGCAGCTGCCTAGAAGCGTCCCGGTTGCTATAGAAACAGTCAGCATTCTGAGACGTGCGCATTGGCTGATCTAGCCTGAAAAAATAAGCTTTTTATAACGCTATTTGAGCAAAAGCAATGACATTTATGACACAGTTGTTGTCAGATTTCATTGGTGATTTCAAATATGAAATTTAATCGTAAGCTTAGTGAACAGTTTGGGATAATTTAATGTTTCCCCATACAAAGTGACAGGAGCTGCATTTGCATGCCCGAGAAGCGTTTCAAAGATGGCCGCCAAGTGACATGACTTGCCTTAAAGGGACTTTGACATTATTTAATACAACTCCGATTGTATTCGCCTGAAAGAAGAATGTCATATACATGGCTTGAGGGTGAGTAAATCATGGGGTAATTTTCATTTTTGGATGAACTATCCCTTTAAAACAGAACCATACACTTATGCATTATCTATTTGACAGGAAATAAGAAACTGTACCTGAGCCCAAATGCTTCCCCAGAAAAACACACCATCACTGATTTTCTTCAACAGAGACTGGAAGTCATTGTCACTGTACTCAAATCGATTACCAAACACAAGCACACAGATCACATTTGAGACTGTGTTGTTCAGCAGGATTTGAGGGTTAAAAGGTTGACCTGGAAAAGTTACCGATTCAAAGATTTTTAGGATAACATAGTTTCAATGCTTTTTAGATGACAAATCTCAGTTTACTCTTAATAACTGTTGAAAACGAACTGTACACACCATTTTAATTTGAAATGGCCTCATTCAGAAAGTGGCATTCAAGACTGATGGATGGCTCCAGGCTTTTCTTTCCCAATCCAAAGTTTCTAAGAGTTGAGAGTGCAAATCTCCTCTGATGCTTCCAACTATAGCCATTAGCAGTAACTAAACCTGTTAATAAATAAATAAATAAATAAATACCACTCTTCTTTTGGTCACTTCATCTCACACTCATTCTCAGTGGCATCATTTTTATTTGCAGTGTGATTTTGACAGCTGACAAATTATGGTGAAAAGTTAACCACCATTTTACCATATGATTTATTGACTGACCTTTGTCTCCAAAAATGTCATAAAATATGGGTAACTTGGGTTGATCAGCCAGGTTGTCGCCCTCTTCTAGATACGCCTCTCACTGTTTTGTACCTGATCAAGACAACAATTCTTGGTCCGAGAATTCGAATGCCTAAAATATTTCCGTATTTTTTTTGCAAACTGAAAAATATGTGTGAAAATGAACATAACTAGTGAAATAGTTTTATAGGCATAAATAAAAGATATATCTTAGAAGTAGGCTAGTTGTCATGTTTTGTAGTTAATAGTCAACAAAAATACAATTGGTATTATACCTTTTGCAGCTGAAGATGTATCTTCTTGTGATCGATATGATGAAGGTCTCCTATAATCGGTAAAGACCAGGAGGAAAGTTTTTCGGCACTTTATTTTTGATATAATCACTTAGTAATAATAAAAACACAAGCGAGAATAACAAAATAGTCTTGATATCGATCCACTCGTAAAGGTGCAACAGGTCCATGACTATTTGCGCAGTTTTGGACAAGAATGATCTAACAGAGTTTACGTCGTGTTTGAGTTGTCGGCGAGATTTTTCTGCGTGGCAGAAGTTAAGTTCTGGTGTAATCTGAACTGCATTCCTTTATATGACGATTTTGCATTATATCATTTATTTACAACACCCGTCTCACCCGCAAAGCCCTCTGCATTGCAGGCTGAGAGTAACGCAATTTCAATTCTCTGTGTGTATGTACTGTACATGTGGAAGAATTGACAATAAAGCAGACTTGACTTGACTATGTCTGCCAGAGCCCCTCCCATCTCAAAAACGCAGCACCCATGAGAGAGAGAGAGACGTGACGGCCGGCGTTCTGATTGAATAGAAGTCAATGGAGGAGATGCCTCGGTAAGCTGAATAAATTCCTTTTGTATGGAATTTATTTCTGTTTGGAGGATCTTTTAAAGGCAGCCTTCGTTTTGTGTCCTTAATTGGGCGTATTTTGAAGGATACATCAAGTGTATCTTTCCTCCTGTGACTGTCATCCACAAAACCTTTGCACACATTCCAATTCACTTCAAAATAGTTGTGCAAAAAAAAAAAACCTTTTCAACGTTAAAGGGAATCAAGTTTTCTTCTGTTAAGTTGTAAAATAAAAACATTTTCTAGACCGTCTCACTCTAGCGTTCAGTGCCGAATCGTCCAGCCAAAAAGCCACAGGATTAGAGTAGAAAGGTTTCAGCTTCATTAGGATACATCCTTTCTTTTGAGAAACAACCTTTGTCTGCTTGTAAGCCAGGACATGTTGAAATGGAAAATATTAATATTCAGATTTTGAAAAAATATTATTATATTATTTTATAACATCACTTCAAATTTTAATAATTTATTACTTTTTACTTCCTCGTTTAGCTTTCTCACGTTTAATTGTTGTTTGATGTTATGATTGTGTGGTTTAATGGGATAAATAGACATTTTTTTAAAGGTTACCCATTTTTATTTGTCTACTAGAAGCTGCAGTTTTACATGGTTATAGATCATTTTGAAGAAACAGCAAAATTCCACTTGTAAATATGGTGCACTGATGTAAAATGTATAAACAATCAACGAGGAGTGAAACTTATTTTAAATGGCTTTGGGGAGAGTGTCATTCCAAATTTGAAGTCCAAGCTTGTTTGCTTTCGCCCTTGAGGAGACAGAGTGAAGGATTGTAGAAAGGATGTGAAGAAGAGAAAGAGCTCCATACGGGCAAGCGATTCTCCTGGACAAGATCGTTTTCCTTGGGAGGACAAAATTAAATCTCAAAACAAACCTCAAGATTATCTCATAATTTAATGTGTATATATGCACAACTGTGAAGTACTTTCTGTATGCGTGTAATAAAATATTTACAAAAAAACAAAAAATAAAAAAAACCTGCTCACCTGCCGAGAAAGGAATAAAAGCTTCAGGTTTTTCAAACTTGCCTTGAGCATTAAGAAAATTCTGTGGGTCAAATGAATATGGAGTCTTCCACTTGGTCTGGTCAAAGAGCACTGAGGTCAGGTTAGGGATGATCTGTGTACCCTTGATGTAAAATAAAAAACATGATCAGATGATGAAATACTGACATCATCTAAGGATTAACATAAAAGATTCCATGTTGCATATAATGTACTTTTAAACTTAATTCCAACACGTTTAAAATAACAGCAGTCTGATTTGGTTGGTAGGTAGCTTGTAAGCTCAAATTTCAATGGCATGTCAGCAGCTGAGGCTATTTTCAAGACAAGATCTGTGTTACTACCAATTACACAAGAGTTGTATGAATAAAATAAAATAAAATACATTAAAATTACACAAGGGTCTGATATGGTAAGTATCTGGTATGTTGATGAAAAGTCAGCTGTGTCATTGTTATGACGTTTTACTAAGTTTTGTCATTTATCTCACCTTTGGAATATAATATCCTTCCAATATTGAGTCTTCATTGGTCACTCTTGGCACACTAAGGGGCACAACATTCCCCATTCTCTGGACCTCGTGGATAACAGCATCAGTGTACGGCATGCTGGGTCGGTCATCTATGTTGGGTCGACGCGACCGTCCAACTACTTTGTATATTTCTTGCTGAACCTTTTCTAAATATGACATTCAATGTCAAAATTCCATAACACGCATTTAACAAATTTAACTACATAACTACATAATAAAGTATTCAGTATAACTGGCTTATGAACTGTTTACATGGACAAAATTGAATTTACAGTTGGCTTGTAATTTGGAGCATTATACCTTGGATTTCTGGGTATTTCATCATGTATACAAAGGCCCACAGTAGAGTGGTAGATGTGGTCTCAGTTCCTGCCACAAACAAATCAAGTACAGTGTACTGCAGACCCTCTTCATGAAATCCCGCTTCCAGATCATCTTTCCTCTATAAAGCACAAAGAGACATTACAATTAGCATATGCAGGGTAGTCATGTTGGATAAAGGAAACTCGAACTAAATGTAATATTTCTACATGCTTACCAAATACAGTGCCTTGCGAAAGTATTCATACCCCTTCACTTTTTGTTATGTTGCTACCTTATGTTAAACTGCTTTAAATTACTTTTTTCCCCACACCAATCTACACTCCATACACCATATTGATACCAGCACTTTACTTTTGGGATGGTACTCTGCAGGTGATGAGCAGTGCCTGGTTTTCTTCAAACATGATGCTTAGAATTTAGGTTCATCAGACTAGATAATCTTGTTTCTCAGAGTTTGAGGGTCCTTTAGGTAAATAAAGCCCAGATTGGTGGAGTGTTGCAGTGTTGTTTGTCCTTTTGTAGATTTCTCCTATCTCCACATATGATCATGGAGCTCAACTAGAGTGACCATCAGGTTCTTGGTCACCACTTTAACTAAAGCCCTTCTCCATCAGATGCTCAGTTTGACCAGAAGGCCAGCTCTAGGAAGAGTCCTGGTTGTTTCAAACTTCTTCCATTAAGGGTAACAGAGACTACATGCTTCTGTGACCCTTCAATGAAGCAGAATTTTTTTTCTGAACTGTTCCCGAGATGTGTGGCTGGACACAAACCTGTTTCTGAGCTCTACAGGCAGATCTTTTGACCTCAGGGCTTAGTTTTTGCTCTGATATGCATTATCAGCCGTTAGACCTTTTATTAAGATGCGTGTGCCTTTCCAAATCATACCCATTCAACTGAATTTGCCACAGGTTAACTTCACTATAAGTGTAGTAACATCTACAAGCAATATGAATGCTCCTGAGCTAAATTTCAACTGTCCCAGATAAGGGTATGAACACTTATGCAATGGAATCATTTAAGTTTTTTCATTTTTAATAAATTTGCAAAGATATTAAAAACCTGTTTTTTGCTTTTCCATTATGGAGTATGGCGTGTAGATTGATGTGGGAAAAAAAGTAATTTAAAGAAGTTTTACATAAGGTAGCAACTTAACAAAACGTGAAAAAAATTAAGGGGTATGAATACATTCGCAAGGCACTGTATGTTGCTTGCTTACAAAAGCATAATATGTTTATAAAAAGTAATATTTTCATATGCTGTGTTATGGCGCTTTTCCACTGCGCGGTACGACTCGGCTCGGTACGGCACGGCCCG